CTTCGGCAAATACATAAAACGACTGCCAGTCTGGTAAAGCCACTGCTCAGCTTCAATAAATGCTGCATCTGTGATCAGCTGGCGAAGGGCTCGATGTCTACCTTCCTTCACTACTTCGACAACCTCTATCGACGTGCCCGGGACAAACTGGGAGGTAAGCGGAATGGGCGAAAAGTCATCAGATGTCGAATAATATTCGTCGCGACGTCCATTCACCGCATGCGATGAAAAGGCTCCGGAAGGATACTCCACTGAAAACAAGCAGTTAAGTGTTTGTTAATTTCAGATATAAAAGGAAATTGAATTCATCTTACAAATTGGTAAGATAGAGTCATTGCCTTATAAAGGGCGAGACGATTTGGCCACATTGCGCATTTATAAGATAGGGTATATCGACAATATATCCCTGCCTTATAAAGCACAATGCAGCGTCAAAACGCCCCCTTTATTATGAGATGTGGTTTTGACCAAGCAAAACCCATCTTTAAAGCGTCGATCCTCACCAAGGAGAATCAAGGCTTTTCCCGATCGCCTCACCAAGGAGAGCAAAATGGGGTAAAAGGACTAATTTGCAAATTCTCAGAAGAAGAGGGTTAATTTGCAAAATTTCCATAAAGCGTCGATCCTCACCAAGGAGAACCAAGGCCTTTCCCGGTTGCCTCACCAAGGAGAACAACGGGGGGTAAAATGGACCAATTTGCAAATATCCAGAAAAAAGAGGACTAATTTGTAAATTTTCGAAAAAGGTCAAAAAATTGCTCACCAGCATATGAGGGAGGCGCGCCATCAACCGATGCAGCAGGAAAACGACCTCTCGATACTCGCGACATAATGGCCTACAAAAAGAATTCAAGAGGTCAGATCTAGAAATAAAAATCACTTTTTTATCCCCTAAAAAGGCGAGCTTGAGGCATCAAATCACTCCCTCAACCCTTATATGCGATCCCGCTATTCCATACACTAGATCAAACATGAAATAGATCAAGATTATGGAGATATACCTGAGGGGAAGCTCGAGGATCCGACAAAAATTAGATCTTGGAAGTGCTCGAACCACGCGCTCGAGGGGCTCGAAGGAAAGTCTAAATATGGAAGTTTCGAGGGATTTCTCAGTCAAGGATCAAAAGGAAGGATGAATCTAAGACGAAGATCGAGTTTTGAGGGAGAACGGAGGCTCGAGGGAAGAGAAATTCAAAAAGGAGGCAAAGGGGGGGGGCCGGCCCTAGGGTAAAGAAAAGAAAAGAAAAAGACCCCCTTTATATAAGGTGGACCGGGTTGAACCAAACCGAACCGAACCGGACCGGACCCAGTTCGAACCAAAATCCAAATTGAAGCCGAACCGAGCATCGAAACGACTTCAAATCGAGCGACGATTCAACCCATCACTTACTCACTCTTCTCCCACATGTTCGGAAGAGTCGGAGGATTTTTTGAACCGATTTACTGCCTTTTTTGGCTCATTTTAAGCCGGTTCAGCTCATTTAGGCACAAAAACACTCCGAAAAGTATACGAGTATAAACTGCTTCTTAATACTCCAATAAGGTATATGAGTATAAACTATTCCCTATTTTTGGTTTGAGAAGTTCCTGGAGAATATTGTTTATAAATATTCTTAAGGATAACTCAACCACACTACGCCGGACAACGCGTTGTGCATAAAGACTCGACGCCACAATCAATGGTCAGCTCAAAGGAATCGACTTCAAGTTCAGAAAATTCCGACAAACGGTCAGACAATAAATGCAGCACCGGAACTCTTACAGACTTTCGACAAAGCACCGAAAAGCCTGGAGAATTGAAGGAGTCAAGAACAGAAGCCATTCCGAGGTCCCGTTATACCGACTGAAGGTAGGGACAATCATATCCAAAGTATCCCAGACTCTTCTATAAAAGAACGAGACTGAAATACTTTGGAGGGGGTATCTGTAGGCATATAAAATTGCTTATAGGTCCCCTAGCATAGCTCGGCACAAACCGACGAACCAACGAGGCGACGAGATCGACGAATCGCACAGAAGCGACGGAATGCATCCACCCGCGTGCAGAATCAAGCTAATGAGTTGAGGAATCAACGAGCCATCCAACCAAGGGGAAACTCGGACGAATCACGATCGAATCAAGATCAATTTCGGACTCGAACTCAGAAGCGGATTTACTGCCAAATCAGGAATCCAACTTACTGCCAAATCAGATCAACCAATCAGAGTCTCAATCAACCGAATCACGGACAGAACCGGAAACAACGGAAAACGACTCGAAAAAGTCGGAAAACACCGCCCGCGGGGGCTCGGCCAAAGCCGAGCCACCTCAAGGCGGCTCGGCCTTAGCCGAGCCACCTTGAGGTGGCTCGGTGGCCGAGCCACCTCAAGGTGGCTCGGCCAAGGCCGAGCC